TGAGCGGCAGCATAGTGCAATACTGACCACGGTTGAAAGTCGGCGTCAGTAGTCGGGGCAATACCCATGGACGCAGGGCGTGCAATGGTTTCTGCAAGCTCGTTCAACGGATGCCCCATGACGTGCTTCCACGTAATAAGTGGCGTAAGTTCTTGCAGTAGCTGCAGGGCTCATTCGAAAATCAACGGTCGGCCCCCACGTGACATATATCGCGTGCCCCCTGCTGCCGCTGATACCACCAACTGCTTACCCGTGAAAACTCCGACTAGGAGATTGCGAAACCTTTCAGGGGGATGCAGTAATCGTAGGACTAGCCATAGGGCAGCATGAAATTCGGAGGCGACAGACGCGCTGGTCACAGCGTCAGCCAGTACAACATCGACGCCGAACAGATACCCGTCACATATGCCCCCCCCCCCCCCCCCCCCCCCGCCATCGTAACTGAGAAGACGCGCCATGCCCAAAATGGGGTCCACCCAGCCGTGGGTGTTTGGACCATCAGGGCCCATCTGTATACACTTCCAGTCTTACACCTTTGTCGTCTACAGGGGGGGGGGGGGGGGGGGGGGGGTCTCCGCGGGTCTCAAAACAACTGCGGGTACTGCTGTGCAGATACGGGTAAACAATAAAAGCATCGCTCGGGCTCTCCCTGGGCGCCAAACAAAAATTGCGGTGATGGGCGAACTCAGGGGCCAGGGCTGACGGAGATGCCCGACCGGCGCGCTGCAATCTGGAATGGGGCATCGAGGGCGCGCTGGATCAGACTCTGCACGAGACTGCGATGGCGGCGGCCTGGCTGGAAACAAAAGAGCGGCGGGCAATCTGCGAGCTGCTATCTCGGGCATCTCACTCGCCAGAACTTGCCCAGGAGGTCGCCGCGCCCCTGGTGCGCAGCTTGCACCGTCCACTACTAAAAAACTGTCCTCAGTCCGACTCGGGCTGCGACTGCGACTGGTGCCTCTTGCGACGGGTGGCCAGTCCAGCCGCGCGCTGCTCGCCTGCCTCCGGGGCGACTTCAGCGCGTCCGACGGGCGTCGGCGGGGCGGCGCCTCGACCACGATGGCTGGGCGCCGCCTCCTGCCGAGCGATCGCGTCGCGCAGCCCTTGCTGTCCGTCTGGCTTGCGAGCTCGATCGCATCGCGCTTGGCCTTCCATGCCGCCGCCGCGCGGGCCCTCAGCTCCTCGGGCGGCCCGCCCCCTGGCCGATGGCCGCGAGCCACCATCGACTGGGAAGTCGACGGCTGCCGCGGACCCCCGGGCCGCGGCCGCGCGGCCGCGGCCGCCGCGGGTCCAGGCAGCTCGGCGCGCGGCCGCGCCGACGGCGCGGCCGCGGGCGGAGCCGCCAGGGCCAGCCGCTGCGGCTGCCCCGCGAACGGCGCCACGCCTGTGCCAGCCCCCATCCCTGCACCAGGGCCCGACGCCGCTCTCGCGGCGCTCATGTTTACCTGGAGCGCCGTCAGCAGCTGCGCGAGCGACATCGGCTGCATGGTCAGCTGGACCTGCCATGCCTGCAGCTCCGCGACGGCGGCTACAGGCGGCGCCTGGTCTGGAGGCGTGCCACGGGCTGCGCCTGTCGCTGGCGGCGGAGGCGCGGCTGCTGCAGACTCCATGTTAGCGCCCACGTCCGTCGCCGGCCTCAGGGACTCGAGCTGGTCTAGCAACGTCTCGGCACGACTGAGCGCCTCCTCTCGCTGCAGCACCTTAGCCTCCTTCTCCTCCAGACTGGCTCAGGCTAGGTCAGCAGCAGCATGGGAGCATGGGCCTTGTCGAGCTTCACCTGGGCACGCTGCGCGAACGCTCGTTGACGATGCTGCATCTGCTCCTTCGTCATGCCGATCTCCTTGGCCGCCTGCAGTCGCTTACCGGCGGCCGCCGCCATCTGTCTTGGCGACCGCCTGTGGGCACCGAGACCCCTCTCGTCTCTGGGCGGCCCGGCTCGCGCTGGACGCCGCTGTGCGTCCTGTGGGGGCGCCGGCAGGATGCCAAGCGCAGGGCTGCGCAAGTCCTTCTCCGCCTCGGAAGCCTGGCCTCTGTCGGGCCCCTCATATTCTGCGAACCTCGCGCGGGAGCAGGAACGGGGCCTCGACGCGCTAGACTGGCGGCGGCGTTTGCGACGAGAGCCTATGCGCGGGCGAGCATCTCTGCGCTTGCTGTCCTGGCGCCGGTGGTTCGAGTCGCCGCTGCCGTCGTCGTTGCGGCTGGGCAGACTGCGGGGGAGGAGCATGCACGCGCGGCGCAACATGTCCGCAGGGCCATTCAAGCTGCCACACGCATGACACCACCAGCCTGGCGGAAACGGCGGCATACGCCACGGCGCGCTCGGTCCTGCGGCGCGACCTTTACCACCTTTGTCCGCCTGGTGTCCCATTTCCGCCTTTGCCGCCTTCTCCCATGGGCCCTGAACTGTGATGTTCTCGCACCGTAGCTGCGGCAGCGGCCGCGCGAAGCAGGGTGCGTGACTGGGTGCGCCGCTCGCGAGCTCGCCTGTGCCAGGCTGGCTCGCGCGCCGTGGGCGCCCGTCACGGGGCGGCGCACGCCGCGTCGGCAGCGCGGCTGGCCACGGCGCTGGCTGGCGCGTCTGACCGCCGTGCCGCGACGAGGCTCGCAGCGCGTGGTGCCAGGTGCCAGGGCGCTGCGCCCAAAGCCTCGAACGGGGACGGCGACCGGAGGGAAGGGAGGAAGGGAGGGAGGGAGGAAAGACAAAAGGGTGGGCAGGGCCGCCTTCGCCGAGCGCCGCTCTTGAAGACGCGCCTTGTTGACGGTGCGCCGCTCCCGCGCGGGCGTCAGCGCGCGCGGCCAGGAACGAGACCAGGCGGTCAATCTGCCCACCGGTTCCGCCGAACATACGTCAACGGACCGCCGCTTTGCAAATGGCCGTGGCGTCCGCAACTTCGACCGTGCGGTGTAGGATCGCCGAATACTCGCGGTAAAAAAGCACAGCGGCGCACGACCCGAGAAACGTCGAGCTCTGGCCGCGCGCGCGCTGCCCCTGCTCGCGCGGAGGTCGCGGACACGCACAGGCCTGAAAACTTCGGCAGGCACTGGGAGGCCGTCGGCCGCGACAGACTACAGTGGTCCTGACACCACTGGTGGTAGTAGCTGCAACGGGCGTAGTGTTTGATGCTGCCCACGCCCTGGGCGCAACCGAGAAGCGCAGCGTCCACTCTACTGGAAGAGCCGCGCGGTTACCCAACAGTTCGAATACGGTGCGCAAGGCTGCGGCCACGACGCACGGCGGCACGAACGAACCCAGCGCGTCCATGCGCGACCGGAACCGCTGCACCCGCGCCCCGAGGACAACATCAATGACCCAGTGCCCAGGCGGCGACGCATGAAGATGGCCGCTGGGGCCCGCGGGCGGTCCGCCAGGAGGGCCTTGTGGCGCTCGGCCTGCCACGTGGCCTCCATCTGTTGCCAGGCCTCCTGCGTCGCAAACCGCGTGCAGGGGAGGTTTTGCACTTGCTCGAGCTCTTGCACACGTCCCTGCGCGGCCTCAAGCACGAAAGGCGCGTTCGACTCCAACCACCTGGCAGAAACTCGCGAAGAGCGCAACGCATGCGATGGCGCGCCCGTCGTCTCGGCACTCGCAAGCCGTCTTGCTGGGCGCCGTCCTGGTGGCAGACGCGAGCCTTAGCAGCGATCGACACGCACCGGATGTCGATCAGCTCGCACGGGAAGCTGAACCCCCTGAACTGAGTCAAGAGGTCGGCGCTCGCCCATGCCCCGGGGCCAGGAAAGAGCTTGGCGCAGGCCTTGGCCTCCGCGGCCGAGAGAGCAGCTTGCAGGGGTCAGAGCTGCGCAACAAACGTGGCGATAGACGTCACGAAAATCCTGAAGGCTTCGCGGGTGTGAAATACACCCGGGCCAAGAACACCCCAGAGCTGGGCCCGGTTCAAAATCTTGGCAAACGGCGCCGTGCATGAAACGTCCCCTGCGCCTGGCCCAAAGATCAATCCCAGATACTTCACCTGGCCCTTGATGGGCATGGTGCCCCACTCCATGGCTTCGCGGGCAATCTCAGCCCGCAGCGCCAGCTCGTCGTACGCAATGGGATGGTGCTGCCGCTGCTGCGTGGGACTCGTGTACTTGTTGCTCGGACTCCTCCTCCACGCGATCCGAATGCAAGCTCTGGCCGTGGACCACACATTCCACACAGACCGGCCGTGCCGAAAAGAATTGTCTGACAGACCCACTGGCCGTGCGAACAAGAGCTGTCTGACAGACCGAGCAAGGACGGTCTAACATGATAATGTTTGGCACGCCCGATCTGTCAGAGAGTTCCTGTTCGCGTGGGACTTATTTAATGATCGACGCTTTCCTTCCGTCGTTCAAAATGGCGTTCTCGCCCAAGCGCGTGCTACTTCTCTGGATCTGGATCCTTCCTCATCGTTGCCGCCCCCTCAGTTCTCCTCCGCCGCCTTACCCTGGTCTTCTCGCGCATCTTCCACTCCAACAACTGCTGCTGCTGCTGCTGCTGCTGCTGCTACTGATCGTCGTCGTCCTCGTCATCATCCTCCTTCCTCCTGACCCCTTCCTGCTTCCCCCCGTCCTCCTTTTCCTCCTTTTCCTTCTCCTATTATTTGTCCTACTCCTCTCATCATCATTACCTCCTCCTCCCTCCTCCTCCTCCTCCTCCTTCTCCTACTCCTCCTGCTCCTCCTGCTGCTCAACCCCCTGCTCAATCGTCACTTCTTTTTCCAATGTACGCAACAGCTCCCGCTCCAAATTGCGCACTAGGCGGACCCTCCTTGGAAATCCAGGGCCGCTATGACACGCGTCGGCGGACAGAGAAAAATCAGCGACATGGGAAAGGGCGGGCTGGAGGAGAACAATACCACAGATGGCGCGAACGCGCCTCGGTTGGCCTCTCCCTTCGCCCATGCCCTCGCTTCGCACCCCTCCAAGCTTACGAGCTAGGACAGGCCTCCCTCTTCCGTCCCCCCCAGAGCGCCGACGGCATGCCTGCTCCGATCCAATCCCCCCATCGTCGCCCCCCCACCGTCAACGCACTGTCACTGCGAGCCTTGGCGGTGGAAACTGGCCGACAATGCCCTGCCGACATCCGCGGTCGCCCCGGCCGAGCCCCTGGGGGGGGCAACCCAGTGGGGGGTAGCATCGCATGCTTCCAAGCGTTCCGATCGCCTGCGTTCTCGACGAGACCCGTGGGCGGACGCGAGTCATGCCCACCCCAAGGCTATTCGCCCCTGTGGCGGACTACGACCGACCCCGCCGGCCTCCAGGTGGAAACGGCCGTCCCACTGCTCCGCGCACTCGCGGATGCTCACCTCTCCCGGGGGGGTGGGGGGGGGCTGTAGGCGAGGGCGGACGGCCGAACGGGTCGGGGCGGAGGAGGAGGGGGAGGAAGAATGGAGAAGAGTAGGAGGAGCTCGGTCCGGGGGCGGGCTGAGTTGCAGGTGATGGCTCGCCGCCTCGGCGCCACCATCATGCAGGCCATGGGTGGCCTGTCCAAACCTGGCCGCGGCGGCGGGTGGGCCTTCGGGGACGAGGTCCGTTCGCCGGGAGCTTTCTTGGGCCCCCCGCCCCCCCCCCCTCCCCTCCCCCCCTCCCCCCCCCCTGCCCCCCCCCCTGCGGGCAGCGGCGTGGCGAGCGACGGGGCGGTCAACAACAACGCTGACGACCTCCATCCCTTTCTTCCTGGTGGTGGTGGTTGAGGTATCGGTTGCTCCCCAGTTGCTGACAACCGATCTCATTCGCTCTGGCCCGGTCCCGCGACCCGCTGGCCCTGGTCTGACGTCACCTGGCGTCTCTCCTGCCACGCGCCTCACAATGTCCCTCTGCTGCTTTCACTTCGGAGGAGGAGGAGGAGATAGAGGAGGAGATAGAGGAGAGAAGGGACAGCTGGAGTGATATCCCAACAGCTCGGGCGGAGTGTCCGTCCAGGCGCGCGGGATACTAGCGCCCGCCGCGCCCACCTCATGTGGCGGGAGGTGCCGCTCGAGCAGCAAGGATACGGCATCCTCCTCCCTCGCCAGGTCTGTGAGGACTGCGACTGGAAGACAAGGGCGGGAAGCGGTGAGAAGGGCAGGGCTTACGCACGCGTTGGAATACGTGATCCAGTGCCCGTGGCACAGAAGGCGCAACCTCGGGGCGGCCCAGTCAGTGCTGGGGCTACGGGGAAATTGCCAGCAGCTCACGCAGTGCACTCCGAACTGAGAGGCTAGCACTGGGGAGCGATCGGTGAGCATCGACGAACGCCTAGTGGCTTTTATGGGGGGGCCCGAGGCTGCGATCGGGCCTGGTGGAGCGCGTCTCTTTGTTCGCGGCAATAACAAGCGTTATGGGGGGGGCGGGAGGGGTATAACGTAACGCCCCCCCGCCGTGCGGTTCTGGCACAACCACAGCGACCGCGCGCACGACGACGACGACGACGAACACGACGACGACGACGACGACGACGACGAGCGACGACGACGACGACGACGGCGACGGGCGACGACGACGACGGCGACGAGCGACCACGACGAAGACGACGACGACGATGCCGACGCCGACGCCGACGACAACGACGACAGCATCGACGACGACGAGCGACCCCTCTGGAGGTATCCAGATGTTTCCCGAGGCCTCCGGAGGCCTCCTGAGGCCTCTGGAAGCCTCCAGGGGCCGTCGGGAGGGCATATGAAGGTCTGCAGAGGTCCTCGAAAGCATTCGAAGGAGTTTGACAACGACGAGCGACCGCGTGCGATGACGACCTACGACAACGTCGACGACGACGACGAAGATGACGACGACGACGACGACGACGGCGACGAGCGACGACGACGACGACGACGACGCCGACCACGACGAGCGACGACGACGACGAGAAACGACGAGAAACGACGACGACGATGACGACGACGACATCGACGACGACGCTGACGACGAGCGACCCCTCCGGAGGTCTCCAGAGGTTTCCCGAGGCCTCCGGACGACGACGACCGACAACGAAGAGCGACGAGGAGTTGTGGCGAGCACATGCCTGCGAAGGCGTCGTTGCCTCCCCGTGGCGTATAGGAGGTATGCTCCTTAACTCACTCCTCCATCGCCGTCGTCATCATCGTCGTCGTCCTTCTCCTCCTATTGCTCTCTGTCCTACGAACACCACAAGCACCTGAGAGCAACACAACTTGCCCACAACCACCGGCCCGATGCGGATCCTCACGCGGATCCCTATGCGGATCCTTATGGAGATCCCTATGCGGAAATCTATGAGGGCCCCTGGGAATCCTAATGCGGATCTCTATTCAGATCCCGATGGATATCTCTATGCGATCCCCACGCGGATCCCCATGTGGATTTCTGTGTGGATGCCAATGCATATCCCTATTCCTATGCGGATCCCTATGCGCACGGCGACAGTGCCCGGGGCGCACTGGGGGCTAGAGCGTTACGTTATAGGGGGGAGGGGCCGGGGGGGCCATAACGCGCGTTACGACCCAAGTAATCAAGAAACACGCTCGTGAAGGTCGGTCCAGGCGGTCTGTGATCTGGATTCTGTCCAGGCGGGATCCTGACTGTTCCTGGGTGCTATGCAGCTTAGGGCCCAGCCTGATATCACTCCGACGCAGCGTCGTGATGCTGGTAGTGCAGGCGGCCCCTTGGTCGCGGTCAGCCGACGTGATTGACTGCGGTGAGACGCTGCGTGGCGCTACTCCGCCAGGCGGCACGTACTGGCGTCAGTCGGATACCTTCACCCTGGTAGGCGATGCTGGGGCACTGTGGCCGTGATGCCTGAGTCCCAATATTTGCGCCCCCGAGGCCATAAACCCTTTGTGAATTACACAATGTTTGCGTCCCCGAGGCCACACACCCTCGTAAATTACGCAAGATTGGCGTCCCCGAATCAATACACAATCGTAAATTACCTGATATTCGCGCCACCGAAGCCATACACCCTCGAAAATGAGTATTGGCCCTCGCGTGAAGTCCTGACATTGCTTCACGTCAGCGTCCAGAAATTCCAAATGGGCTCAACTTTTCCCCCTTTCGTCCCTCCCCTCCTTCCCCCTTCCGCTTCCGCCTCCCCTCCCTGCCCCGTCCCCGACTGGGCCTGATCTGAGAACCTCTTTGTGTCGTGGCGCGTCGCTTGCCCGTGGAGTGACCAGGCGCATCTCAGGTCACCGAGGCCACCGAGGAGGGAGGAGAGAAAAGAGGGGATGAGGAGGAGTAAGAGGAGGAGGAGGAGGAGGAGGAGGAGGAGGAGGAGGAGGAGGAGGGAGGAGGAGGGAGGAGGGAGGAGGGGGGGAAGGAGGAGGATGAGGGGGCAGGAGGGCAGACGGAGGAAGGCGGAGAAGAAGAAGGAGAAAGTGGGAGGAAAGAAGACGAACCTACCCCACACTAGAATGGCGCAGGGGCCTCCACGCCGTGCGAGGCCATGCCCCCGAAGTTCGCGGAGCCCACCATGCCGAAGCACCGACTGCCCTGCAGAACGCGGTGAACCATGCTGATGTAGCGCGGCTGGGCGGGGGGACCCGCAGGGGTAGGGTTCGCAAGCGGTCGCAAACCAAAGCAGCAGGGACGCGGCACGGTGGAAAAGGCATGGAGAGAGCGTCTGCACCACCTGTGCTGTAGGCGGCTTGTGCGCGGGAGATCGGGCTCCAAGGTTCACTGCTGGACAGCAGCGCCGTGCTGACGTAGCGCGGATTGGGGGAGGGGGCGGGAAAGCAACTGGAACGTGGCACCTGTTGTAACATGTAGCGAGAAGCTTTGCCCCCTATCTCGTTCGCAAGAGCACGGGATCCAAGGTTCAGTGCTGGACAACGCGTGTACTGTACGCTGCTGTCGTGACAAAATCGGCGGTTGTTTCTGACACCGCGTGGTCAACTTCGAACGATCGCTACTCTCCGATAGTGCGAGTGATGTCAACCGATTCTGGGCCCCTGGCGGCGTTCAACCTTGAACGCCTGCGCTGGGGTCGCAGCCACAGACTCCACTGTAAATGAATATTTCGCGTGGCCCTGCCAAGAATCGCTGGCTTGCTTGCTGGCTGGCTGCTGTGGCCAAGTCGCCGCGCAACAGCAACGCTGACAAGCCTGATGCTGGCCTTGTCAGCCTGGGCTGCACAGATCGGAACAAAGCAGTTCAGGAGGGCCTCGAGGTTTGGCCATCCCCTTTTGGAGACCTGCACACCTGCAGAAAAGGATGGACGGGAACAGAACGTGTTGTCAAAGTAATCTTCGTCTGGATGAACGTCAAGGGCACAGAAGTGGGGGTGCACGCAGGCTCTGTATGATGAAGTGCGTTCGCCATCAACGCTGGATTAACTTGAAACACTTCGCAAGGGAGAACACGTGTCGGACCGAAGGACGGTGCGATACTGTGCAACACGGGCATGATGTGCCAACGACCTACGAGAAACACCGATGTCATATACAGATGGATCCCTTGTTACATAAAAGAGGTAAAAGAGAATACATATCCAAACAGCTGTTGAACTGCGACCCCGAGTCAGCCTGGGCCCTGGGCCAGCCTGGCCCAAGATCCAAGGGCGCCATTGGGCATAAAAAGGCTAATGCCTGCCCTCCTGGGAAGTACACTCAACCTCAACATCTCCCTCCCCCCATCCCCATTCCCCTGCGCATCCTCCGCTGAATTCTTATGTTCGAACTCCTCCCTCTCCCGCTCTCCATCGCATGCACCCTCCTCCGTCTTACCCTTCTCACCTCTACCCCCTTCCCCCACCATTCCTCTTCCATCCTCCCTCCCCCATCCGTCCTACCACTTCCCCATCATTCCCTCGTCCACTTCCGTCATCCCAGCTCCTTCAGCCAAATCTTCGTTCCTCCTCCCGCTCCCGATGCTGAAACCCTCGCCTCCCTCCTCCTCCTCCTCCTCCTCCTCCGCCTCCTCCTCCTCCTCCTACCCCTCCTCCTCTCTTCCGCCTCTTTCTCTTCCTCCTCCTCCTCCTACTCCCCCTCCTCGAACTCATATTCCTTCTCGTCCTCATTACCTCCTCATGACGCTCAACCCTTTGCCTCTAGAATAACACCTCACTGTCGCAACCCCCGGCATGTCGGTAGGGCGGGGCGGGCGGTTCGCCTGAGGCATCGCCCCCAACGTAAACCTTGAAGCTTCAAACTTGTAGCAACTTCAAAGGTTGAGAGGAACGGTTCTTTTGAACACTGAGCTCTGGCATCAGCGCCGCGCACATTCATCAGCACAACCTGCAACAGGCACAAGGATGGACGACAGGTCGCTTCCGACAGGGGCTCTCACCCTCGGCGCCGCACACAACGTCTTCAACAACTGCTAGAGCTAGAAGGATGGAACACATGCGGCTTTCCAAAACGGAGCCTCGCCTCAGCGCCGCGCATCTTCGTCTTCAAAGCTTGCCACCATTTCAAAGATGGCCCAGGGAACGTTTTCATCAAAATGGGGCCCGCGCCTTGGCACCGCGCACCGTCGTCCTAAACTACTGCAGCCGTTACATTTCTTCCAAGATGGGGCTCTCGCCTTAGCGCCGCATACTTTCGTTTTCAAGCCGTGCAGCATTTTCAAGGCTGAAGGACGGATCTGTCTCAACATCGCATCAGCCCTTCGGGCGTGAGTGGTCTAGGGAGCTCGTTCTGCCATACCCCTTTCGTACCCTTCGGGGCCCTCCACCCGCGAGACGCCAGGGCCCATGTTGGCCCCAAGAGGCTCAAAGAGGGCCAAAAAGAGCCCAAGACGGCCTCCAAGATCGCTCAAGAGATCTCTAGACGCTTCAAGATAGCCTCCAACATGCGCCCAAAAGTCCCCAATCTCGCCCCAGAACGGCCCCAAGTGTCCTCCGAACCTCTCAGGGGGGCCCCATAAGAGGCCAGCAGCATTCGAAACCCATGTGTTTGAGCAAATGTTGGTGTGGTGTCTCGCGTTTCCTCTTCCGATGGGCTCTTGAAGACTCAAGGTGGTTCCATGATGGCACCAAGAAGCTCCAACCGGCCCCCAAGAGGGCCCCAAGGCAGCCCCAAGAGCGCCTCAAGAGCGCCCCGAGAGAGCCCCAAGAAGGCCCCGGAGGGCTCCAAGATGGCCCCAACAGGGCACCACGATAGCCCCAAGAGGCCTCCAAGACGCTCCCAAAGCGACAAATCGCGAATGTCTTGATATTGACGTCTGCCGTCATCGTCGTCGGTGGTAGGGGGCAGACGCTTCCCGTGACTGCCTTGGTTGGGTGGTTGCCTGTCGCCCTCCACGTGCTTCTTATCCTCCTCCTCCTCCTCCTCCTCCTCCTCGTCCTCCTCCTCCTCCTCCTCCTCCTCCTAAACACTAAAACTAAACACACATCGGGGGCAACAAATACCGCCTCAGGGCTCTAGACACCGAATTCCGAGTTCCAGGCCGAAAAAACTCAAAAACGTTATGTGCCCCTGTGACGTCGGGAACGAGGTCGGCGCGCGGCCGCGGGGGCCTGGCGGCGCCCCGCTCCGCTTATGCGGCGACGGGGTCCGACGCAGCCAGGGGGGCCCGCGACTAGCGACCGACGCTGACTGCATCCAAGCACCGCGGATCCCACCCACCCCCGAGCTGTTGGACGGAGCCACCAGGGCCAGAACCCGCCAAACAGCCTGGGGGTGATGGGGACCCGCAGCGCGTCACGTCCGACTGTGGGCTCTCCTTCGGAGCGACCCCAGTCGGGCAACCCTGCTCTCAAGGGCCCTCAGGAGCTCTCTTCCTCGCTCACTGCCAGTCGCAGCGACCATCGCGGCCACGCTGGCCGCCTGCTGCCTCAGGGCCGTCAGCTCAACTTCAGCATCTGGCCCAGATCTTTCTGCAGATCTCGCTCGAGCCTGGACCTTGGGAGCTGGCCGTCGGACCGCGCCGCGCCCTCGGCCTCCAGCATGGTGAGGAACGCTGTCCGCACGTCCTGACGAAGATCGGCATCAGCGGCATGTCGGCGAGGCATCGCGGTCCCTCCGCGTCGCTCTCCATGATCTCCTCCTCGTTCGCCTTCTTCTTCCCCACGCCGTGCTTGCTCAGCCACTTGGGGTTCTCCAGCGGCAGCTGCGCGTGCGGGTTGATGGCCATCGTCATCTTGCTGTGCCCCGTCGCCTGCACCTGCTCGTCGAACCTCGCCCGCTTGAGTCGAAATCCCTTGAAGACCTCGCCCGTGAGCGCTGGGGACTCCTCCAGCGCCGTGTTCATGAGGGACATCACGCACTGCGCCAGCCTGACCTGCTGCCCGTTGCCCATGTCCGCGACGGCCAGCTTGTTGATCACGCTCTTCGCGATCTGGACGTGCGGGCTGCCGAGCTCCTGTGGGGTGTAAGCCTTGGACTCCACCGCCTCGTTGTACTCCTTGCCGCTCGCCTCCGCCGCCTCCACGGTGACGCTGTTCACTGGCGCCAGGCGGAAGTCGTACACCGCTCCCTCCAGGCCGCGCTGCCCCTGCATCGTGTTCAGCACCCCCTTCTGCAGCCTGACGACCATCCCGTCGGAGACCCCGCTGGAGCTGGCGGCGGCAGGCCTCGTGCCACCATCGGTCGCGAGCTTCTTCTTCTTCTTGCCGCCCGCCTTCGCCTTGCCCGCGGGTGTCGCCCCCTCTGGTTTGGCCGCCTCTGGTGCCTTCCTCTCCTGCTCGACGTCGTCCTCCCTCACCTGCTTCGCCGTCTTCGGGTCTGGGGCGGCCGCCTCGCTCACTGCCTCCATGGTCGCCGAGCGCTCCCTCCTCGTCACCGTGCCCTTCTGAATCCCTCCCGACAGGAACTGGATCGGCTTGACGGGCGGTGCGCTGCCTGCGGTGCTTCCAGCTACTCTCATCGCTGCCCACTGCAAGAGAAAGGCCAGTGGGGCCCTCATGATGTGACCGAATATGTACTTGAAGCTCGAGCAAATGGACAAAGGAGCGCTCGCAGGCGGGACATTGGAGGCTATGGGGCTCGATCGGCTCGTGATGCCAGGGAGAGTGGTCGACCATGCACATTCGCCGTGCTCGCCTCGCTCCTCGCGATACCCATCCCCCTGATACTCGAGATACGTGCTGCATCGCCCCCTCCCTCGAAGGAAAACAACTCAAGCACCAGGGGCATTGATTCGTAACCACTAACCGTCGAAGTTCGTGCTGCACCCCGTGGACGATGCGACGATGAGTCTGAAGAGCAGCAAAGGAGTGGAATGTGTTGCCACACATCGTGCCATCAACCGTCTCGTTGCAACCAAATTCAGCGGGTGGGGGCGCGATCCACTCGTCTTGAGCGGCCTCTGCCCCGTCCACCCCCACGCTCGCGAGGCCAGGTGGGGGTATCTGCACGGCGAAGGATGCCGCGCGCATAGCACGCAAATCCAGCCTAATGAACTGGTCGTGCACGTCGCCCTCGTAGAACAGGTCCAGCAGCCCTCCAGGAGCCGACATCAGCATCTCCCACATGTCGTGGCAGTCCCCACTCACCTTGCCCATCTCCCTCAAGTCCTTCTCCAATTGCAAGCAGCGCGGCGTAGAGGTTGAGATCGGCCATCCGTCCTCTCCCAGCCTGCAGATCCCC